AAAGAGTACAGTAAAAAAATTATAATTATTACATGATTATATAGAACAAACCACGCAACGCAACAAGTTATAGATGGATTTGGCTAAGATTGCACATATGTGTAAAGTTGTGAGGAGTAAAACTTTTCCCTTTTTTTCGCTTTTATCAACAACCAACAATGAAAATAAATCAAAACTCTATTCGACATGCCATTAAACGTGAGACAACAATTACACAACTCTCCATCACCTAAAACATGGCTATAAAAAGCCCATTTCATCAATGTCAGACGCAGGGGATTGCCCTCATACCCCAATCTCCGCCAGACATGTGACATGGGCACATGGACATGGACATCGACATCAGCATATGAAACGTTTTTTTTACTGATTTCTTTTTATTTTTCTCCAGCTGGAACACGTGCGGCAATTATATGAGTAGCCAATAATTTCGCTTAATAATACACAAAAAATACAATGGACAGACAAGGCGATATAGTGGTTCAATCGAACATAATTATGGTCATTAAGATAAACTTTTTCAACGCACTTCTTTGCGGACATTTGAAGGTCATTGGGTAGCCGTTTCATGACTAGCAAGCATTTGCATCGATTAAATTAAATATAGATAAAGGTAAAACAATAAAGGTAATGCTTGCCTCGACTCGTGGCCTCAGTCATGCCAAGTTTATCGATGAAAAAAAATAAATAAAATAAAACAAGTTTTCCTCGTGGCTCTATCGAATTACATTGGAGCGTGAGTTCCGCTTTAAAAACTATTCTAGGTGGGAATATAAACGCCTGATTCGCTACGTTTGTTTAAATGAAACGCTTTAAAAACTTTGGGTACCCAATAAAAAAACTCTTACGCCTCCGAAAAACACCTTAACAAATGCGTTTTGATTGCATTAAGAACCACGCCTCAAAGCCATTGAACTTGAGCCTCATAAAATATTCAAATCCCAATGTTTCCCCGCTTTTTCCTAAATTGATAGGGCATGAAATGAGTATGTCAAAGATAAATCATCCACAGAAAATCCAAAAGAAAGGCCAGCAGAGAAAGAAACAGGTAGGAATCGTTAAGGGAATCAAAAGCAGACAGTATTTATTTTTACCCTATTCTTTGGCCTGCCATTTCAAGGAATTACAGAATCCTGTTCTCTAGTTTCAGGTAGTTGTAGGTGTGTCGTATCTTATTGTTTGTTGCAACCTCATAAAAATGTTTGTTTCGAAAAAAGATACGAAGGCATTTTAGGGATTGTTCGAAAAGGGTTCCCTGAACTTTAATTGCGTGTTCAGGACTTCGGGGTAATTAAATTGATACATATTTCATGTCAGGGGAATGCGGAATTATATGGTCCACGCCTCAGAAAAAATAAGAAATACCAAAGAGGATGAAAGCCTCGCCCGAAACATAAACAAAATTCCACAAGGCTTAGCCCGGGGATTTGAACTGGCCAAGATCAAAAGTCCAGTGACTCCCATAATACGGCTCTGATTACACACCGAAACCAAACCGATCCCAACCCAATTCGAATCCAAAACCACAGACGACATTTGAGGATCATCAACTCGTTCATGTGTAAATCTAGAGCAAATCCATATCAATATCAATTCGGATTGGGACCCATCTCGTCTCGTTTTTCCCAAGTTGTTGACCCAGTGTAACGGCGAACCAAGGTTTTAGCGATAGCCTAAGCATCACATTCACTTTAGATTTGTGTTTTTTTTTCCAATAAAAAAACAGAGTCTTGAAAAAAAAATATGTCGCATTTCTGATGTATGAGGCTTTCTGTTCCGAGTTCTTATCGTACCAGCCACAATATCATTTGTCAAAGTGTCAACTGTTGGCATTGTTTGTATTTATATAGTTCTGGTGTGGCATCTTCGTTTTGCCCTTTGTTTTTCGCTGTCTGTCCGAAATCTGAGCATTGAAAATTGAGTAATATGCTCGGGTTTTTGGTATGCGGGCCCCCTTTTGAAAGATGGGTTAGTCGAGATTGGCGGGGAGTGATGCGGCATTTTATAATAATGCAGAGAACAAGAATGATGAGGCATGCTATTGGGGATTGGCTTTTTGCCGTTGCAGGCAGGTTCTAAAAAGATTGGAAGATTCATTGCTTCTCTGACAAGGCCGGTAGCTCAAAGTGGATAAGGGGAATGCAGTTAAAAGATCAAGATTAGCGGTTGATGGAAAGTCAAGGTAAACGGATTTTCAAATGTTCTTAGACGGTCTTCGGCTTAAAAGCTTTTAAATATGAAAATTGTATAAGAGCCTTTTGATTGTTAGAAGAAAAGCGGTATGTTTAACGTCTTTCTCTTTTTCACTAGAATCTTAAGTGAGCAGCTTTTAAATTCATTGTGCTCTAGGGTTTCCAACTTAAAGCCCAGTTTAAACTTAATACATTCATAGTGCCGCTATAATTCACATTTATTGATCTCTTGACCATTTTTAAATCAATTCTTTCCACTTTTATGACTCACAAAGCCTGTTGTAACAGTTCCAAAGCGCACATAAATAACAAAAAAGCAACGCTCGTTAATGTAATGTAATTAAACCGTTTTTGGTAACCTATCTTAACCGAATTTTGCGCACTTGACACCTGAAGTGTCGTCACCTGTCGCACGAGCAGACCTTTCACAGAAAAAATCAGACATTTACAGCCGTAAGTTGATTATACAATTCACCATTTAGCAGTAATTGGTTTTGCCGAAAGGTGAATTAACATTGACCGCAGCTAAAGTTGCAATTTCACACGATCTATCGGAGTAAAAAATAAACGAGAGGACAGACACCCACCTGAGCAAACTAATTGCAGGTGGGCCCAAAAAACGAGTTGGCGTTTTGGCCAAAAGAAATTTTATTGTGATTTATGCTCGAGTGTTTTGACAACACGTCGAAGACTTTCAAAACGATTTATTTCGCTTTTTGCAAATCATTTCCCAAATTGAAATTGGGTTAATTGAGCTTGACTTTGAACAGTTAAAAGGGTAGAAGAATGTTGGCGTGTAGGCTGTTTCCAGAGAAATGTAGAATATCGACAGATAGTGAGTTTGAGAATCGATCTCAGTGAAGTCTTACAAATGCAATTTGTGGTTTTAGACGTCTTGAATGAAAGCCTCCTCACACAAGCTGAACGCCTGAGTAGTTTGGTCTAAAGATGCTGGAAAAAGGGGAGAGATAATGGCTTAAAAATGGTAATACTGATACGCTCAGGTAAGTAAGTGGGCAAGTGGATCAATTCTAAGACTTCTCCATTCATCTGCAGATGCAGAAAACTGTAAGAGTGTTAGATGTCAACTTTCCACATGATTGATGAACCATCAGGAGTGGCAAAAGAATATCTCAAACACATTCCGCTAATCAAAGAACTACGACAAAAGAACCCAAGATTTTCACTTCATTAGGTTGGTCTTTGTCCCAGGAATCTATACAGATATATCGGTACAAGCCATACTATCCACCGTTAAATTGTTTTCTTTCGGTATTTTCGTAATTTACTTGATTAAATGCATTGGATCATTAGGCGTTCTCCATCGAGAGAGAGAAAAACTAGTTTACACAATCCAGATAGTGGCAGGAAGCCGGCACACAAAAATTTTCGTCGAAGGTAAGCCACATTTTCAACCGAAACAAGAAAGGAAAGCTAACTTCGGGCGGAGCCGAAGTTGATATACCCTTGCAGAATACTCTGTAAAATATATTCCCCAAAATTATTCATATGATGCATTCTTAATACTCATAAAAAATCCCAACTTCCTAACTTTAAAAACACCAAAGTTATGGCATTTCCAATCGTTCAGTTATATGGCAGATATAGGATATAGTCGGCCGATCCTTATGAAGTTTGGTAGGTCGGATTGATTGGCCAAAAATAAAACCCATAGAAAATCCCAACTTCCTAACTTTACAAACACCAAAGTTATGGCATTTCCGATTAATCAGTTATATGGCAGCTATAGGATATAGTCGGCCGATCCTTTTAAAATTTGGTACGTCAAATTGATTGGCCAAATGTAAAACCCATAGAAAATCCCAACTTCCTAACTTTACAAACACCAAAGTTGTGGCATTTCCGATCGTTCAGTTATATGGCAGCTATAGGATATAGTCGGCCGATCCTTATAAAATTTGGTACGTCAAATTGATTGGCCAAATGTAAAACCCATAGAAAATCCCAACTTTCTAACTTTAAAAACACCAAAGTTATGGCATTCCCGATCGTTCAGTTATATGGCAGCTATAGGATATAGTCGGCCGATCCCGGCCGTTCCGACTTATATACTGCGTGCAAAGGAAAGAAGGGTGTGTGCAAAGTTTCAATTCGATATCTTTAAAACTGAGAGACTAGTTCGCGTAGAAACAGACAGACGGACAGACAGACGGACAGACAGACGGACAGACGGACAGACGGACAGACGGACAGACGGACAGACGGACAGACGGACAGACGGACATGGCTATATCAACTCAGGAGGTGATCCTGATCAAGAATATATATACTTTATAGGGTCGGAGATGTCTCCTTCACTGCGTTGCACACTTTTGACCAAAATTATAATACCCTCTGCAAGGGTATAAAAATACAAAAACATAGACCAAAAAAAAAAAAAACACAATGAACTGAGGAGACACCTGCTGTCCATGCCGTTAGCAGTTAGCTACCGCCACACAATGGACCCAAGTCGAAGTCGAAGTCGGAGTGGAGGTATCTGGTATGCAACCTGTAGATATGCGCTTTATAATTGCATGAACCGCTGCACCAACTGACCCACTTTGGCACCACACTATATACCATAGAACCCCGCAGTCCGACAATAATGAAGCTTGTTCTCTGCGGCTTCTGTGGGCCCCCCAAATAAAAGAGACACAACATAGAAAAATTAAATAAGGTAAATTAGTTTTAAACAAATGTAAGCCCGCATGAGCGAACGAGTTGAGATTAGGCGATAATTTATGCAATGCCTTTGAACTTTTAAAACCATTGTAAAGCAAACCCAGCAAGCTAAGCTTTTACATTTCGGCATCTTAAACAAAATTCTAAATTCTTAGTCTAAAAGTTCAGCTTTTCAGAATGGATACGCTGCGCCAGAAGATTTCAGAGCAGTTTAATAATTCCATACCCACAATTGACGAGGTTCTAGAGAGCCCTAAATATGTGGAGAATCCAGAAGCACCAGAAACATCATCAAATGATAAAAAGGAAACATCGAATCAGGAAACTGGGAAGACAGACAATACTTCAGCTAATACTACAGAACCCATAACATCTGGGGATATTCCGGTCCCAGATACTAAGTTGCAAAATTTCAAAAGACAACCGCCTATAAACTACGAATTGGAGTTTGTTGACTTCATGGATCGCAATGCTCCCAAGGGTTTATCGAAAAAGTTAATGGATATGTTACCCTACCTAAAGATGAGCTTTTTGTCGTGGCCAGCTTTTTGGTTTTGGCGTGGCTACAATTGGCATAGTCAACGAAAAACGGAGAGGATCGGTCTTTATATTCAAAGGGTGGGAAATGGAGAAGTAATATCTAAGGTTCCTTATTAATCCTATTCATTTCAGACCTATCAGCAGGCCAAACTCATGCAGTTGGCTATCTTAGCCACTGGCTTGTTAACAGTATCAATGGGACATCCAGCAGGATTGCCCATCCAATTGCAGAAAATGCAGTACAACAAGTCTGATGAAGATGACATTGACGACACTCCTTAAACCAGGTAAGCATTGATTTATGTTTCAGTCCAGATTTTACACACAAAAATTCTAAATTTATTCCTTTCGATCAACATAAATTAAAAATTTTGGTAAAAATGGGCTATTTTAGCAGCCTGAAGCAGAAAATCCAGGGGCCTTTTAAGAAGGAGGACACATCCGAAGAAAAGGTCAATCCCCCTCAAAGAAATAATCTTGGCGAGCAGATACGACTAATGGTGCACTCAAAACCCTTTGAAAGTGCCTACAATTCCGCTGCCCCATTTCTTTTCGCCAGTTTGGGGGCGTGGCCGGGATATTGGCTTTTTCGGGGAATGGATTATCATGTACATCGTTCACATGTTCCATTGGCCATCTATATAAGACAGGCAAGTCAATAGATTTTGGTTTTATGTACCTCTTCTAGAGATATCTTCATTTTTCAGACCTACTATCAAGCCAAAGTAGTGCAGTTACTCATTATTTTGGCCGGCACTTATACAGTATTCCGAAATAACAATCGCTTGCGATTGATGAACACAAATGGCGTTGTGGATTCTTAGAACCATGAAAAAAATATCTATGGATGCTAAAAAAGGTCAAGAAACACCTCCCTGGAAATACGGAAGCTGAACTTTTAATTTGCTAAACACAATTTGAATATAAATCAATGATAATTTCCTATATAGTCCTGTGTGTTGGGGGACATGGTTCGTCAACATCCTTACTTTCCAAATCCTCACTTTTGGATTGCAGCTCCACTGGGTCGCTTTCTTCATCCTTGATCTCCTCTCTTATGTTTTTGATAACCGTTGCTAGCAAACCAGGTTCTATTCCAACTTTGATCAGTTCAATGCAGATTTTAAGGGACTCCTTACTCAAACCAGCGTTCACTAATTGCGACATGGCATGCAGCACGATTAAGTCTCTTTCGGATGACAAGTTTTCAGACATTTTTTCTGAACAATTTTGTTATAAAATCTATTCAACTCCTAATAACTCTGATTGAATTTTTGAATAATTCTAATATAATGCCTTAAAAATTCTTATAAATACAGCACACTGACATTTATATCAAAAGTTCCCATTTTTTGATACCAGTCCTTACTTCATTATATAGTTAAGTAAATATAGTTTAGGATATTCCATTTAAAAACTATAATCTGCAAAATATCTGTAGTCAATAAATGATTTAAAAGATATTTTTTTACATGTTTTTTTAGTGAGTACAAAAATGTGTAAATTAATAACGACCATGGCTATGTCAAAATATTTAATTGTTTTTTAATTCCGAAGCTTAAATTTGTATGTTTCCCCTATCTCCTAAGCGTATACCATTACCAGCTGTAAATCGTAACACCGTTTCAAGTTCAGAGTTCAGTAATGAGCCACCTGCTCCAGTGAACCCCCATACGTTCGCCACGATCTACCCGCTGCCAAGTGGAAAGATAAATTAGCTTCAAATTAAACAAATTATATACGCTAGAGAGGCACGCACACAGAGTTTTCAGAAAAAGATGGGGGAATGGTAAAGAAATCTCAGCTGGCGGACAATTAAAAAACGCTTAAATGAAGATATTTTTTCAGTCTGCAAGTGCAGTTGCCGCCAGCCAGCATGTGATAAGTAAGAGCAAACACTTAATTATGAGAGGGAGATCTATTGTATCGCTTGGCCTCACCTGTATGAGATACATTTTCAGCTTCTATTTTTTCCTCGTTGCTCCACACAAACGAATGCTAATTATGCAGCATCTGACGATATGATGATGAAGTTGTTACTGTTTTGCTCTACTTGGAATGCAGTTCACTTTTTATGGGTCTGGTGCAGTTGAGTTCAATTAGAAACCGAAAAAAACGGGCGTTCTCGACTTTCTCACTTAATGGAAATTAATTGAAAAACGTTTTCGCTGCGAAAATTTAGAACTTCACTTGAGAGCGAAGCAATTTCCAGCTTTAACTGAGGCGTTGAAATTAAAAGAGTTGGCCGTGTCTTATTGTACAGTTTTATATAGTCGGGCTATATAAAAGCAATTAGTCAGCAGCACGTAAAAACACAAACTTGCAAAAGGAAGTTGGTATATAAATTAAACTCTGTTTTCTTGTGGTAGGTTTACCCGATCGAAGGGGGTGGAATATAAACTTTTTGGAGGGTGTTTTCCTGTTTAACACACTTTGCTTGCTATGGCAATTGGTTTTACGAATGCCTTCACAAGGTGTTTCACACACAAAATCGATCAAACAAATATTTTCAAACACAATTGTCCAGCTCAATGTATGGGAACTTGAGCGGTCTTTTAGTATTTCAAGGTTTCTTTGATGTTGGCTTTTATGTTTATGTTTTTATTTATTTACACAATTATTTACAGTTCGTTGGTTTAGCTAGTGCTTTAGTGCATATTTTAGTATGTTGTTTATTATTTGAATTTCTATATTATTTTTGTTTATTTTTCGTTAACGCGTTTGCATGACCATCGTGTCTGTGAGTTGAGCGCGAACTGAATTGAAATTCCGCTGGGCTGCGGCTACAAAGCAGCTTGTGGATTGTATCTTATGGATTCCATGCAACCTCATCATCAGGTTCGCTTCGAACATGTTTGGAAATATCTGTGATAACCATCGGATCGGACAGGTTGGGCCCCGGTTCGGAATGCCTGGGATATGTCCGCAAGATTCTTGTACTGCTCTTGAAATCGCTTCGACATTTCTTGTTGTCACAACTTCGGAATTCGGATTATTCAGGGAGATGGAGGCGGCGCCCACTAGGAATTTAGTTAATTTGTTGATTACCCCGAGCAATATGGGGCAGAAATTGGGCTTAACGAACGCTAAATGGTTTTAATAGGTGAAATACTAAGGGTTGATGGGATGATATGAAAAAGTAAAACAACATTTTAAAGTATTTACAGTAGAAAAAAGGATTTTTTTGGCAGTGAAGAAATATCTTTAATAACATTGAATTTTTGAGTTACTAGTTACTATTTTACAGGGGTTACACTATTGTTAACATCGGATATATATTTTCAGACTTATAAAAAATATATTTTTCAGTTTCCAAGGTAAATCCAAAACCGTTTTTCCGATGACCAGCCCAATGTAATCCAACCCGAAACCTGATAACTATTTATCTCCCCACACCCAGGCGCATATCTCAGAGCTTGTGGAACGCATTGCAACAGGTTCGCCGGGCATTCAAAATAAAAGCTGCAAAATATCCGTAAGGCGAAAAAACGAGACCATAATAATTAATACCGATCGACCGAGAGACCCACCGAATCCCGCCGATGGAGAGAAGTGCGTAAGTGAAATAAAGAAAAACAGGAAATTATTCGCAGCAAAAGTTGCGAAATACATCATAACCTGCCAGCCAAAGATGACAAAACTGCGGATGGATGTGGTTACAAAATTTCACCCGAATATTAACAAAAAGGGGCGTGTGCCGGTCAATAATCGTGTACACCCTTGAAATGAGCCTGAAAAACAGCATTCAATTTGCAAAAATGAAAATGAAAAGGAAAATGAAACTTCGGGCTCATTTCGGGCAAATTTCTTTGGCCATGCCTGCCCGATTTTCTGGCATCTTGTGGCACAAATGTGTGGCACCGTGATAAATGCACCGAATAAGACGGGAAAAAAATCAAAATAAGCTGAAACAAAAAAAAACCTGCAATCAGCAAACGAAAGTGAAACAAAAGCGCCGACGAGCGAGTAAGAGAGACAGGGAAAAAGACATCGGAACGTTAAGCGAAAAACTTGCAATTTCCATTTTAAATACGCAACAACTTTCGGCTAGAGGCAGGCCGCAGCCACAAGGAGTCCAAGTCGCTGGATTCCCCACCTCTGCAGCTGCTCAACAAGCGATAAAGGGAGGGGCGGGGGCAGTGGATCGTAGGACCAGACCCAGGCCTGCACTGAGAGAAAGTATCTTCGAAGTTTTGAATTTACTCAAATTGTTTCAATAGCCAAAAGACTCTAAAAAGCACCTGCGAAATGAGTTGATTGAATTGTGTCAAAATAAAATAGACGAAAATCAACTTGATTTCTTTAATGCCATTACAATTTTTAAATTATTTTCTTTATTATTTATTAATGCAACCATCACATAACCATAAGAACGACTCTGATGAAGGATGGGTTTCATTATCTTTTTAAAAACAAGACTGAAATAATACAATATCGTTTCTTAATTGTTTAGACTCTAAAATTCAAGAAAATTATTGGGTCCTTCTGATTTCAATATTTAAAAGTTTAACTTAATCTTTAAAGATTTAAACGTGATATATTATTTTGAACATCAGCTAAATAAAAAAAAAAATATATAACTTAAAATATTTTCCCCCGTGTAAGCATGAACAACGTACTACTTGGTTCGCAACTCCTCGCCGAGTCGGCGGTTAGTTGTCTGTGGATCGTCTGGCTCTTGATTGGAGCTGCCTCCAGGAATCGAAGGAGCAGGAGAAGTTTAGGGAGCCTGGACGGAGACTGGGCGGATTGGCGCTCTTTTGTTGGCTATGTCATCAGCATAAATTTTGCCTCGCATTCATCATAATTTCCATGCATTTAATTTGTGTCATAAATTGTCTGCTTTACTCTAGGAGTCGACTGAGATTGGGATGCGATGGCCGTAAAGGCTGAGATATGAAATCTACAATTAGTTCTGGGGTGGGAGAGCTTAACTCTTGCCAAGTTCCAAAAGGCAGTTCATTGAACGCCGGACGACGGGCATTTTCACTTTCACTTGAAGCGGGCTGGGAAATGGGAATTGGGAAATGCAGGTTCAATGGTCACGCACTTGGCAAAACAGCAGCAAAAGCTAAATGACATCCCTAGTCGGGTGTCTGATTACCCAGCAGATTTTGCAAATGAGCCGGGCAAACATTGGTAAGATACAAAAAACAAGCACAGACACTTGAGATACAACGAAATGCATTCGCCAGATACAAAGATACGGCGATGCAAAGATACTCGACGCACGTTTGAATGCTGTTGTAGTACTGCGATCAATAACAACAAAAGAGGCAGACTGTCTGGGCCGAGATGGGATCGTTGTTGGCCAGGTTAAAGATCGTTAGGCGCGACAAGGGGTCAGGTAGTGGTAGTGGCAAAGCAGATGATGGCCACGATAATCAAGGAGTGGAGTATTCGTCCGTCTGTCTGTTCAGTTTATTATTTTCCAGCCGCCTGACCAAATGAGCCAATAATTTCGTTGGTCGCGACTGCTAAACCATAATCATTGAGTTGCATTGATTGGAAAATCCATTATGGGCCTCACTTTTTAGACTGCACATGCTAATGGCTCCCTTTTTTACGAGCCACTTCCTTGCAGGAACCGGATTATGTAACTCTCAGAAGGGGAAGTCCTAAGCAAACAAATCAACTCCGTTTTTATTGACTTACGCAATGATTTCCTTTGATAGCCTATGGCCCAAAAACGATATCGGTGAAACTTACCTGCAAGAGAGAAGGAAGAAAGACAGATAGAATTAGTCATACGGATAAAAATATATATATATATCTGGGGTACATATGATATGCGTGGAAATGATTAAGCAATTTCCGTTGACATGCAATTTTCCAAATGGACCAGAAGAGAGTGAGAGTGCGGAGATAGCGAAATATCTGCAATTGCAATCGCTCATAAATCAAGTTTGCTCAATTGAGGCTTACGTTCGGTTCGTTTTATGGCGACAGATTGTGTTGCGAAGCAAATGCAGTTAATGATTAGGAATGTGGCGAAATGTGGCGAAAGGGAAACGCCGATATAATAGAGAGTTTCGGTTTCGAACGGTATTTATCTGGCATTTAGGCGAAATGCTTTGAAAACTCACTATCAAATTTGTTTCATATACCCATGTAATTTAGCTGCAGCTTACTTGGTTTGCAAAGTAATTTTGTATCATTGAAATATTTATTTATCCGTGGATGTTGGACATAAATTTACTTTAGTTCTTGAAATCCTTTTAGATACAGAAAGTATAAATTAAAATAATATTAACATCCATCCCAAAAACCATAAAAATTCCCACACCAATTATCCCTAATCCAACCATGCAACTTCCTTGATACGATTCCCTTCATTTTCCCACACCTCGCTGATGTCTCAACTCGTAATTCTCAAAGAAAACAACCCAGAGATCATCTGGCTCTACGCCTATGAGTTCCACCCCCAAACATCTCCAACACCTGCTGACCTGTGGCGCAATCTTTCCACCGATTGATGGATGGGACACTGTCAGGTAGTCGGGGCAGCATCCGACCAGATACTTTCTGCCACATGGGTGTGAAATTATTTCGTCGAGAGACAGCTCAAAGATATCTCTTTGAGGCGATTTTGGAGCCCACCACTTTGCGCCAAGTTCAATGGACGTTCGTTGGCAGTCGCAAAGGGTCTCCTTTTTTGTTTCTCCATTTTTATGGACAGTTAAACAATTATATTTGGTATTTACAGCCGGCCAGACGACCATACGAAATATGAGATGTGAAAGATGATGCAATGCGGCAATTGACCAGCCAGTTTGAATAAGAAGGAGGTGGAGGAGATGGCTTCAATCCAAGGAGCCGAGTCAATCGGCGACAATCTGCCACTTGGCACTTTCGTTTTTCGCTTTCGCAGTGAAAAGAAAACATTTTGTGGCATTTTTTCCAGCTGGTCACGTAACCAACCAACTGACCATTAAGAAATTCTTGAGGACTGGGGTTTGGGCATGCGGACTTGAGCAACTGCACCCGCACCCACCCAATTGAGCTGCCCCGCCCGGCGGCATAAATCACAAGTGAAAAGTGCAGCGCAGTGTCGGCATCGCCATTCCATGGTGTGTGCATAAATCTAATCGGGCGTTTTATATCAGCACCTCGACGGCGAAACTAGAAGACAATGCGCAATCCGCAATCCGCCTAAATATAGCACAGACTTCAAGTCCGTTCGTCATGCCAGATGCAATCTAAATGAAAACTGACTCCCCTCATTGACAGCACGTCCAGATCTCAAGTTATGATGGGTTATAGCTGGGGGAAAATAATCCATTTATACTGTATCTAGGATACTCTATCTATAATAATACTCCTGCAATAAGACATTAAATTTTGTAATTATTTCACGAGGTCTCTTTTTATGACGGTTTATACCTTCAGAATAAATAGTGATAAAGCAATCTCACTGAAAACATATCCGGCTCACTTGAAAAATGTTTAAGATCTTTGCAAAATATAGAATAGTCTTTTTAATAAAATTTTGATATTTTCATTAAAAATCTAAAAATATGTATGTATGTACGCATCGATTCGAAAAGATAGCAATGTACCTTTGAATATAAAAAAAACATGTTCATTTACCTATGCAGCTGCTTTTTGGTTTTTATTTTAATTTTTTTATGGGCTCCACTCATGTATTTTTATGAAATCTGGTGTTTGTAGGTGCGCTATGATGTTGTTATTTCTGGTTTTGGTTTTTCTTTATGTTTTCGGATCATTTGTAAAATGCTCACGT